TTTTCTAAAATTATGTCAATGACTGGCATCCTTTCTTCACCATAATAATTTTGTATACAAAATATTTACCAGTATATACAGCATAATCTGGGCCATAAAACAAGTTTCAATAAATTTGAAAGGATTCAAATCGTGCAGAATATGTTCTTGGACCACAATGAAATGAAATATTAGAAATCAGTAGCAGGGACGCCTGGGTGGCTCAGTCGTTGAGCGTCTGTCTTCGGCTCAGGGCATGATCCTGGGGTCCCGGAGTCCCATGTCAGGCTCCCTACATGGAGCCTGCTTCTCCCTCTGCCTGTGTCTCTGCCTCTCTCATGAGTAAATAAATGAAATCTAAAAAGAAATAAAAGAAATCAGTAGCAACAGGCACCTGGGTGGCTCAGTTGGTTAAGCATCTGACTTCAGCTCAGGTCATGATCTCCAGGTCCTGGGATCGAGCCCCATATCATGCTCCCTGCTCATGGGGAGTCTGCTTCTCCCTCTGCTCCTCTTCCTGCTCCACTTATGCTCACATTCTCTCTCAAATAAATAAAATTTTAAAAAAAGAAAGAGGGATCCCTGGGTGGTGCAGCGGTTTGGTGCCTGCCTTTGGCTCAGGGCACGATCCTGGAGACCCGGGATCGAATCCCACGTCGGGCTCCCGGTGCATGGAGCCTGCTTCTCCCTCTGCCTGTGTCTCTGCCTCTCTCTCTCTCTCTCTGTGTGTGACTATCATAAATAAATAAAAATTAAAAAAAATAAAAATAAAAAAGAAAGAAATCAGTAACTAAAAGATTTCTGGAAAACCTCCAGATATTTGGAAACTAACACATTCATAAATAATCCACAGGTCAAAGAGGAAATCAAAAGGGAAATCGAAACTTATTTATTTACTATCATAAACATGCAGTTTCTATGTGCCAGGTCCTGTCCTGGGTCATTTCCAAAAACAGACTTGGTTCATTTAAGCCTCATAACCGTACAAGAAAAGCAATCTTTTCCTGCCCCTGCTACAAATGCAGACACACAGTAAGTGACCTGCCTAGGCCACAAGCGTAGGCAGTAGCAGACCTGAGATCTGGATCCAGTCTGTGTCTTGTGTCCCAGCTTAATGGAGAGACACTGAAGGTGATTGCTTTGGGACCAGCTCAACAAATATTTAGGAGCTAATCTGCAGGACTTGGGCATGTAAGAGAAACACAGTAGAGGAAGCAGGAGAAGACTGATAAGAAAGGAGGTGAAGGGCACAGAAGGGCAGGGGCTGGAGGGCTCCTTGAAGTGGGTGAGCATATACCATGCTGGGGGGAGGGGCCCCACAGTCTTGTATTAACCTATTTATTATTTTTTAAATTTTTTTATTATTTATGATAGTCACAGAGAGAGAGAGAGAGAGAGAGAGAGAGAGAGAGAGAGAGGCAGAGGGAGAAGCAGGCTCCATGCACTGGGAGCCCGACGTGGGACTCGATCCCGGGTCTCCAGGATCGCGCCCTGGGCCAAAAGGCAGGCGCCAAACTGCTGCGCCACCCAGGGATCCCTATTATTATTTTTAAATATTTTATTTATTTATTTATTCATGAGAGATTCAGAGAGAGAGGCAGAGACACAGGCAGAGGGAGAAGCAGGCTTCATGCAGGACCCACTGAGCCACCCAGGTGCCCCTGAACCTATTTATACAAGGGGATTGGCCCTGGTAGGAGGCCAGTCGAGGTGGGAAGGGACCCAAGGGGGCTGAACATCCACTGGGATATTAATGAAAAGAAAAAGAAAGGGAATGGTGTCCAGGCCAAAGGAACAGCATGTGCACAGCCCTCTGGGCTAGTTCGCAGAGTGAAGTTTAAAAAGATGACAGGGTGGGGCACCTGGGCAGCTCAGCAGGTGAGCATCTGCCTTCGGCTCAGGGCGTGATCTCAGGGTCCTGGGATCAAGTACCGCATCAGACTCCCTGCATGGAGCCTGCTTCTCCCTCTGCCTGTGTCTCTGCCTCTGTGTCTCTTGTGAATAAATGATTTTTTACAATAAATAAGTAAAAAATAAAAAGATGACAGGGAGCACAGAGAGCAGAGACAAATAGGAGGGTGGGGTGTCCTGCGGGGGCCGTAAGCCTGGGTAAGGCGATGGTCTGTCTTTCTTCGGGAATGCCGGGTGTCCGTGAGGGTTTGGGGAGGTTGTGGAAGAGAGCATTGCTAGGATGGGATCTGTGTTCTCGAAGGCCAACCTGGCTACAGGGCGGAGACGGGCGCAGTCAGGGAGCTACGGAGGTGTAGGTGAGCTGCTGGTGGTGGTGGCAGCGGCTGTGGGGGAAGGAAGTGGAGCATGAAGGGGGAAAAGAAGCAGATGGCTTCAAGAGGTATTTAGGAGGCGGAAATGGCAAGGCTCCTGCCAGATCCCCCGTGGGGATGCTTGGGGGTTCTAGAGGGTTCTAGAAGGTGGTGGTGTCATCACTTGATAGCCAGTCCTGGAAGAAGAGCAGGTAAGTGGGGCAGAGAGCTCAGTGTCCAGGTGTGGCACTAGGCTCCTCTGTGCACCATCTGCAGCAAGACATCATCCCAGGAGCTCCAGAGAAAGGCTCAAAAGGGGGCAAGTGTGCAGGGACCGAGGCCGGGGAGGAGCAGCCCGCAGGCAGGAGGACCGCAGCGGGTGGGGGGGGGGGGAGGCACAGGCCTCAGGGAAGGCGCGGTGCTTACCCTGGAATGTAGTCACCGGTCAGGGGCGTGGGGCGGGGGCAGGCCGAGAAGGTTCTAAGGCGGGCGGGAGAGCGCGGGAAGCCCGGAGGCCCGGCGGGAGGGGCTGTTAGAACTGGGCCAGCTGGGGAAGGGAGCTTTCCGGAGCGGCCCTGGGGCAAGTTTGTGGAGCGCAGGCTGGGGAAGGCTCTGGAAGCGGAGAGGTTCACAGCTGGGGCTCTGAATGGCCCACCTACAAGAAATCCTAAACTTCCAGGATCAGGACAAAAGTGGGGTGGAAAGGGAGAAGCGGGGCAGGCGCCCCGGTCCGCGGGGCAGGGGTGCGGCTGGCGGGCGCGGGGTGCAGGTGCAGGGCCCGCACGCCCCACGCTCCCCCTCCTCCCCACCCCGCCTCCAGCCCAGGTTGCAGGGAAAACCCGCCGGCGAGGGCTGCCAGGTGCAGCTGGGGGCAGAAACGCAGCTACCAGGTGCCTCAGCAAACGCACAACGCCCGCCTCCCCTGCCCACGTGGCTGGAAGTTTCCGTCCTGTTTTTCCGATGTGAATGCTCGTTAGGAAGCCCTGCGTTGATTTCACACAGTCCTGATGGGTGCCCAAGCCCCAGTTTGAAAACCCTGTTCCTGGAAATGCTGGGTTTCCCCGGAGAGGAGGGGTGAAGGAGGGTTCAGACAGGTTTGTTTACAACGTAAGGAGCTTCCAGATTGTTCGTGGGGGGCTGGGTAGTGGAGGCTGGAGTATTGGGAGGAGCTGGAGGAGGATCAATGGTGGGAGGAGCTAGCGACAAAGGAGCCCAAGGCACGGCGAGGTTTATGGGAACACGCGGAGCTCCAGGCCGGGGGTGGGAGTGGGGTCCTCAAACATGAAGCCATGTGGTGTCTAAGGGCCCCTCTCCTCCGAGATTCTCGGGTCTCTCATCTGCCATTGTTCTTTAGAAACTGGCTTTTGGAGAGTTAATCCCCCCAAAGGTGAGCTAGATGCTTCCCATGAAGACCCCAAATTATGAAAAATGGGCAGTAAAGAAGATGGACTTTACAAAATCGCGGCAGGTGTGCTGTGTGAGCACGCAGTAGTTCAGTGATCCTGGAACTCCAGGCTAGTGCCAAGGACAGGGTTTTAGGGCAACCCAAAGGCAGGTAGGGCGATAGGTATTAAGGAGGGCGCTTGAGATGAGCGCTGGGTGTGGCTACATGGGTGATGAATCACTGCACTCTCCTAAACACGGGCGCACAGCAGGTAGAAATCCCCAAAGGATGGAGAATTTGGGGGTCTGTGTGGCCACTTCAGAACTTTCCCTTGCCCACGGTGCACCCTAAAAGAAGGACCAGCCCCCAAATCCAAGCAGCGGCCTGCAGGTCTGGAGATTCCGCTGCCAAGGGGGCAGGCAGGGATGCCCCTCGTCCCGCCCTCAGGACCGGCCCCCTGGAGGTCCCTGGGGCTCCCCTGGTCCAAACATCCCCCCGCGGTCCGGGGCTCCCCCCAGGCCAAGGCAGAAACCAGGGATTGCGCACAGGCCGGCCCCCGCCCCACACGCGGCCAGGGGCTGGCGTCTCCGCACCCCTGAAGCAGGCCTGGCAGGCACCTGTTGCCCCACTTCCAGGGCTCTGAACCCAGAATCGCTGCCCCGGCCAGAGAGATGGAGCGCCCTACACCTGACCCCCAGTCCCAGCCTCTCTGATCGCCGCCCGGGCGTTCAGATGCGGGGCGACCCCGCTCCGCTCCTCGAGCCCCTGGATCCGCCCTCCCAGCCAGCACCTGCCCCTGCCCCTGCCCCGGGTGCAGACCCCGACTGTGACCCCTGGATCCGCCCGCCCAGCCCCGTACCTGCCCCGGGTGCAGACCCCGACTGTGACCCCTGGGTCCGCCCTCCCAGCCCCGCACCTGCCCCGGGGCCCCGGGTGCAGCCCCCGACTGTGCCCCTGGATCCGCCCTCCCAGCGCTGCCCCTCCCCGGGGCAGCCCCCGACTGTGCTGGGGCGGCCGTGCGCGGGGGCCCCGAAGCGTGCACACTACGCTGGTGGGGGACACGGTCTGGGAGCACCGCGCTCCCGCGGCGGAAGCAGCGAGGGCGGCCTGGGAGGCGCCAGTGCGCCCGCGCGCCTCGCTGGCGGCGCAGGGCCGGGGTGGGGGCAGGGCCCCGGCGCGAGCCGCGCTGCAGACGGCGGCCCCGGACGGCGCGAGACCTTCGCGAGAGTTCCGGGCTGCGCCGGCGCACTGAGGCCGGCGCGGGGACGCGCGGGGCGGCGTCGGGGGTGGGGCGCTCGGGGCGAGCCCGCGCGCGGCCGGGAGAGGGGCGGGGCCGCGGCCAGGGCGCAGGCGCAGGCGCGCGGCCGCGGCGGCGGTTGGGGAGGGTTCTTCCGGAAGGTTCGGGAGGCTTCTGGAAAAGGCGCCGCGCGCCGGGCGGGCCCGCGTCTATATAAGGGAAGCGCGGGGGCGGCGCGCCAGTTGCTTCTGCGTCCTGGTGCTGCGTCGTCGCGGAGCCCGTGCGGTCCTGTAGCCGAGGTGAGGGGGCGGTCCGGGGGGGTCCCCGGAGGGCGCCGGGGGTCGGGCCCCGCGGGGTGGGGGGGCCGCGGCGCGGGGGGGGCCTCCTGGAGCCTCCGGGCCCCGCGGGGCGGCGCGGCCGAGCGCTCGGCGGGGGAGGCCTCGGGCCTACTGCGGCCTCGACCCCGACCCCCGCGGGCGGGACCCCGGGCGGCCGGGCCGCAGCGCCGGGGGCGCGGGGGGCGCGGGGGGCGCCGGGGGCGGGGGGCGCTGGGCGGGGGGTCCCCGCGGGCCTGCGGCGCCCGGCGGCGGCGTGCGCACGGCCCTCGTTGTCGCAGCTGGAAATGAGGTCATCCTTTGTCGGCGGCCCCCGGCTCGGGCCCGGCGGGTGCGGGCCTGCGGAAGGACCGGGCTGGGGGCGCGGGGGCGGGGGGGGGGGACGGGGGCGCCTAACCGGCCCCGCGGCCCTTGCAGATGCCGGAGGAAACCCAGACCCAGGATCAGCCGATGGAGGAGGAGGAGGTGGAGACGTTCGCCTTCCAGGCGGAGATCGCCCAGTTGATGTCCCTCATCATCAACACGTTCTACTCGAACAAGGAGATCTTCCTCCGGGAGCTGATTTCCAACTCGTCGGACGTAAGTGGGGCTGCCGGGGAGCGGGGGTCGCGGCCTGCGGCGGAGCCCTCCCCTCCTCCCCTCCCCCGCTCCCCGGGAGCGCCCGACTCAACCGCTCGCTGCTTGCTTAATAGGCTTTGGACAAAATCAGATACGAGAGCTTGACCGATCCCAGTAAGCTAGATTCTGGGAAGGAGCTGCACATTAACCTCATTCCGAACAAGCAAGATCGAACCCTTACCATCGTGGACACCGGCATTGGCATGACCAAGGCCGACCTGATCAATAACCTGGGTACCATCGCCAAGTCGGGGACCAAGGCGTTCATGGAGGCTTTGCAGGCTGGCGCAGATATTTCCATGATTGGCCAGTTTGGCGTCGGGTTTTATTCTGCCTACCTGGTGGCTGAGAAAGTGACGGTGATCACCAAGCATAACGACGACGAGCAGTATGCCTGGGAGTCTTCGGCTGGAGGGTCGTTCACGGTTAGGACGGATACAGGTGCGCATCAGAACGGCTTCCTGGGTCACTCGGTCGTGGGGGCGGAGGGGAGGGGGCTGGAGATGCTGTGGGATTGGCAAAAACGTGTTTGCTCCCTCCTGTCCTGGAGGGAGCGGGGTGGTGGCACGTAGCACGTGACTGTAGCAAGGAGCCTCTGGTTTCTGCAGTCAGGTCAGGTGGTGAACTGCTCTGGTATAACTAAACCCCACGTGGTAAAGTTGCTCTGAAATTGTTGCATGTGGTGTGGAGAGCGGGATTGTGGAGTTTTTTTTTTTTTTTTTAATCCCAGATACGTTAAATTTGCTCATTCAGATTGAAACTGAGTCCATTTACCCCTTTACAGGTGAACCTATGGGTCGTGGAACAAAGGTTATCTTGCATCTGAAGGAAGACCAGACTGAGTATCTGGAGGAGAGGAGGATAAAGGAGATTGTGAAGAAACATTCTCAGTTCATTGGCTACCCCATTACTCTCTTTGTGAGTGTCCACATGGGGTGTAGTAGAGTCTGAAACTAGTGAATTAAAATTACTACTTATTAGATCTATGGATGAAAGATTTGAACTTGGCATTGACTTGATTAGTGAGAAAAATTATGTCAATGTCCACACGGTGGTTTAGAGACATTAAATGTTGGCTGCTAAATACTTGTTACTTCGGTATTTTAGGCTTTGGTGTAAGTGCCCACGCTGCATTCAGAGCGTGTTTCAGCTCCAGGATGCAGAGGTGATGTGATTTTTGCCTTTTCTTTGGAAGGTGGAGAAGGAACGTGATAAAGAAGTCAGTGACGATGAGGCTGAAGAAAAGGAGGAGAAAGAGGAAGAAAAAGAAAAGGAAGAGAAAGAGTCTGATGACAAACCTGAAATAGAAGATGTTGGTTCGGATGAGGAGGAGGAGGAAAAGAAGGATGGAGACAAGAAGAAAAAGAAGAAGATCAAGGAGAAGTACATTGACCAGGAAGAGCTGAACAAAACCAAGCCTATTTGGACCAGGAACCCTGACGACATCACCAACGAAGAATATGGGGAATTTTATAAGAGCTTGACCAATGACTGGGAAGATCACTTGGCAGTGAAGGTGAGCACCCAGTGCTTTAGACCTAGTCTACCCTCCAGGTCACCTGAGGTGGTTGGGGTGTGGGTGCTGCCTAGGGCTTGGTCATTCCAGCCCTGAAAGTGCTGGAAGTTCTGGGACAGAGCCTGTGGGTGGTCAGGCAAGGTAGCCGTCAGGGACGGTTGGTTGCAGTGTCCCTTGATGACTTCCCGTGTATATTTTTACAGCATTTTTCAGTTGAAGGACAGCTGGAGTTCAGAGCCCTTCTCTTTGTGCCAAGACGTGCTCCCTTTGACCTATTCGAGAACAGAAAGAAAAAGAACAATATTAAGCTGTACGTTCGCAGAGTTTTCATTATGGATAACTGCGAGGAGCTGATCCCCGAGTATCTGAGTAAGTGTGGCTAGATGGGAGGCTCTGTCCCGCCCCGTGGTGAATCTCTTCTGGATTTGAGTTTCAAGCATTTGGGGCACGAGATTGTCTTTGGGTTTTGTTTTTGTTGTGTTGTTGTTTTTGTTTTTTTGGGTTTTTTTTTTTTTTTGCGTTTATGTATTTGTAGGTTTCGTTTTTAGGATGACTTTGTGTTTTTTTTTTTTCCAGACTTCATTAGAGGTGTGGTGGACTCTGAAGATCTTCCTCTAAATATTTCCCGTGAGATGTTGCAGCAAAGCAAAATTTTGAAAGTTATCAGAAAAAATTTGGTCAAAAAGTGCTTGGAACTTTTCACCGAACTGGCTGAAGACAAAGAGAACTACAAAAAGTTTTACGAGCAGTTCTCGAAAAACATCAAGGTAGGTGTAAAACACATTTGATCCTTAGGAGTGGTTGTCCTTGTGTTTTGTCAAATTTTAAGCGATTTTTTTTCAATGCAGAGAAAATTCAAAGCTAATGTTCTCTTCTAGCTGGGAATACATGAAGATTCTCAAAATCGGAAGAAGCTGTCAGAGCTGTTAAGGTACTACACATCGGCTTCTGGTGATGAGATGGTTTCTCTCAAGGATTATTGCACTAGAATGAAGGAAAACCAGAAACACATCTATTACATCACAGGTAAGAACAGGTGTACAATCGGCTTATTCTTACACACACGTGCCTTACACGTCAGTCTGTAGGGACTAGCCTAGGCAGGACCATGTGGGCTGGGCTCCCTTGTGTGGTTAGGTCTGGCTAGACCAAGTACAAGTCTAAAGGAAATGAAACTATTTCCTATTAAAGTTCTGTTAACTTTTCTACCTACACCTCAGGTGAGACCAAGGACCAGGTAGCAAACTCTGCCTTTGTGGAGCGTCTTCGGAAGCATGGCCTGGAAGTGATCTATATGATCGAACCCATCGATGAGTACTGTGTCCAACAGCTTAAGGAATTTGAGGGGAAGACATTGGTGTCAGTCACCAAAGAGGGTTTGGAACTTCCAGAAGACGAAGAAGAGAAGAAGAAACAGGAGGAGAAAAAAACAAAGTTTGAAAATCTGTGCAAGATCATGAAGGACATCTTGGAGAAAAAAGTAGAAAAGGTGTGTGAGAACAGTGCTTCAGTGTGCCTGGGTCTCCTGCTGGTGGGCTGTTCTGTGGAGTGCCCGTGGGGGTTTCCCAAGCTTCTCCATAGGTTTTTCTTAATTTCTATACAAATAGAAAATTAGGTTTTTCTACTTTGAGAAAACTCAACAGTTTTTGTTAAGACCTGGGAAGAGTTAGGATGTGGAGGAAGAAAGTTCTAGGTACCTAAGTTTGTAGGTGGTGTTTCTTGATTCGTGAACACAGTACTTGGAGTCCTTAGGTTTCATTTTAATAAAGCGGATAGAGGTACTGAAAAATGAGAAGTTAGAACAGCAGAATCTTCCCAGGTCCATTTCTCACCTCATGCTTTGGTTACAGGTGGTCGTGTCAAACCGATTGGTGACCTCCCCGTGCTGCATTGTCACAAGCACATATGGCTGGACGGCAAATATGGAGAGAATCATGAAGGCCCAAGCCTTAAGAGACAACTCCACCATGGGTTACATGGCAGCAAAGAAGCACCTGGAGATAAACCCTGACCACTCCATCATCGAGACCTTACGGCAGAAGGCAGAGGCCGACAAGAATGACAAGTCTGTGAAAGATCTGGTCATCCTGCTCTATGAAACCGCTCTCCTGTCCTCCGGCTTCAGTCTGGAAGATCCCCAGACACATGCTAACAGGATCTACAGGATGATCAAGCTTGGGCTCGGTAAGCTTCCCATGATGCAGTGGTGTGTGACCTTTGGCTCCTGAAACAATACTGGGGGGTGTCAGACCCGGTTTGGGTGACCTCTTAAAGTTTTCTCCTAAGGATGTTATAGGGCTTTTTGATCAGAAAGGCTAAAAAACGGAAGTGGTTTTCACCCCCAGGGAATTGCTCAGCCTTTGAAGTTAGGTATAGGCCCACTGTTAGGCTCATTAATTAGCTGGCTTCGGGAAATTCAATGAGAGGGCTTTGTGTCCAAACAGGTATCGACGAAGACGACCCCACAGCTGATGATAGCAGTGCTGCAGTGAGTGAGGAGATGCCGCCCCTCGAAGGTGATGACGACACGTCACGCATGGAAGAAGTCGATTAAGTGCTGTCCTGAGAATTACTTGTATATGTATTCAATACTTTATCTTCATTCCCTCTGATAATATATTTTCAAGGATGTTTTTCTTTATTTTTGTTAACATTTTAAGAATCTGTAAGGCATGACAATATAGCTACTTAAGGGGAAGATAAGATTTCTTTCTGTTTGAGTGTGATACTGTGACGTGTAGGAACTAAAGCTCGGCTAGTTTTTCTTTCCTAGTCCCATGCTGGCTTATTTTAACCGGACAAGGTAACCTATGTTGTAAGGTGTACGTAACCTAATGTTAGCCGTGTGGTCTCAAGTGTGGATTCCGTAGTAAGACCCAAGTGTTTTTGTCACTGAGGTGTTCCGAGTTGTACTTTGATATGTAAAAGAAGAAATACTGGTTAAAACAACTTTGACCTTCTAGGATCTACTTTTTAAACCTTCTGTCCCTTGTAGTTCTCAACTGCATGTACCAGGCCTCTAGAAACTATAGTGAAACTGAACCAACTGGATGGGAGTAGCCACGGATAGGGCTTGTTTTCCAAAGAAGAGCGTTGTTTAGAGTAGCGAAATTCTAAGCCTCCTTAGGCGTGTTGTAAAGCTGTTCAAGAAGTAACTCCACAAGTTTTGTGAGTGAAAATGTGTAGTGCTCAAGTCACATTCTGCTTTAAGAGGTTGTAACAAATACAAACAAATTAAAAAAAGTTCTGTGAAAATGTTTTGTTTGGGGGGGGAGTGGGCATTCTAGATGACAGGGCAGCCGCAGGATGTAAAAACTTTAGTGTTGGCATGTGTTAGGGATGAGGGAGGTGGCAGACGTTGACGCCCTGAAGTCTTAGCGACCTTGCAGTGTGGGCTCCAGTGACAGCCGCGGGGTGGTGAGCATACTGGGGAGCGTCCCACAACGTGCATCCTCTGTGTCCTGTGTTCCAGTTCCTCACAGATAATTATTTTCTTCTTAGGGTTTTCATGTCCAAGCTGCTTTTTTTTGTAGTATTTGTAAAACCTGCTTTATGTCCTAAATATAGTTCCTTAATACCTCAGCCTCCTGAATATCTGAGTTCTTTACCAAATCTCCTTACTGCCGCCCCACCTGAAATCCTTACTCCCTGGTTCTTTACTGAGTCTCAGGTGAGCTCTGTGGAGGGGTGGCTGAGACTCCTGTGAGCAGCAGGTGCTGAGGTGGGGGAGCTTGAGCTCAGGTGTGTGTTTTTTGTTTTTTTTTAAAGATTTTATTAGTGAGAGACCCTAGACACAGAGGGAGAAGCAGGCTCTATGCAGGGAGCCTGACCTGGGACTCGATCTGGAACTCCAGGATCAGGCCCTGGGCTGACAGCAGGTGCCAAACCGCTGAGCCTACCAGGCTGCCCCTTGAGCTCAGGTTTTAAGAACCAACCAGCTTGGGGCAGGGGCAGCAATGGCCAATCCTAAAATAGCATGTTCCTGGGAAGTGGGTGGTGGTAGCAGGTCTGACTTGGAGGCTAAGGTCCCATCTAAGCCATGACCGTGTTAACCTGGGGGAGCGGGCTGGGAGAGAACTTGGGAGCCTTGTGTCCTGGGGGGCGAGGCTGGTTCCCTGGCGCTCTGCAGGCCCTGAGTGCTTGGTGAGTGGTAATCCGTTAATCAGTAAAGCCCTCTCAGAGGTACCCTCCTCAGCCACACAGGAATTGTTTCCGTTTCAGGGGTCGTGTTTTGAGTCCAGGTTCACTTCCAAGGCCCAGTCTTTCTACCGTTCTTAGACATGCTACCACCCAAGAGGAAGTGTGAGGTTTACCAGAAAACGAATGCCAAGAAGGGCAAAGGGGAAGTTTGTTCCATGTTCCCGGAGTCCAGTGAGAATGCTGAAGGTTGCTGTAGACCCGTGAGGGAATCCACGGAGGACCCGTGCGAGTGACCTCCCCACTGAGTCTGAGCACCTGAAGCGGATCAGCATGTACCAACCGTGCATCTGGAGCCATCACCCAGGTAGCCTGCTTGGAACCTGGGCCAAGAGATGGACGCTAGACACTGTAGGGGGGGGGAGTGGAGCCAGCTGACGCGAGACCATGGTAGCCTCAACTCGTGGTGCTTCACCCCTCCTGAAACTGGTGCGGTCCCGTTGAGGAGGGCAGAGGAGTGAAGGCTCCCAGCTACGGGCCCTCCGCGGGGAGGCGACCAGCAAGGCAGCTGCAGAGCTGCAGTGAGAATGCTGGACTCCAGCAACGTCCTTAAGTTCAACATACAGAAACCTCCTGAACTTCCGTCACCGTCCCAAGAGTTGTCACATCTTTCAAAAGTAATTCAGGGGCATCTGGGGGCCTTAGTGGTTTGTGCAGCCTAAGTGGCTGGCTCTTGATTTTGGCTCAGGTCATGACCCTCAGTCATGACATCAAGGCCCGAATCAGGCTCAAGGGGGAGTCTACTTGTTCTCCCCTTTCCCTCTGCCCCTGCCCCCAGCTCACTCTCTTAAAAAGAAATTATTCATAGTAGTGTACCGAATAGACACCTTTTTTTTTTTCTTTTGAAGATCTTATTTATTCATGAGAGACAGGCAGAGGGAGAAGCAGGCTTCATGTAGGGAGCCCGATGTGGTACTCGATCCTGGGACCCTGGGATCACGCACTGAGCCACCAGGGCTGCCCAATAGAAACATTTTTTTTTAATTTTTTTTTAAGATTTTATTCATGAGAGACACACAGAGGGAGGCAGAGATACAGGAAGAGGGAGGAGAAACCGGCTCCATGCAGGGAGCCCCATGTGGGACTTGATCCCAGGATCACGACCTGAGTCAAAGGCAGACGCTCAACCACTGAGCCACCCAGGCGCCCCTAGAAACCTTTTTTTAAAGGTCTTTGCAGGACCTGTTGACAACCAAAAAAGCTGCTGAGTGGAATTGGGAGACGAGAGCGTGAGAGCGCGCTCCTGGCTCTGGATTCTTGTCAGAAGTCTTAGCATTCGGTGAAGAAACAGACCCAACAAACTCCATACTCTGATACCATTTTTTAAGTTTTATTTACTTGAGTGAAAATGAGCGGTGGGGAGTGGCAGGAGAGAAGCAGAGTCCCCGCTGAGCAGGGAGCCCCCTGAGCTGAAGGCAGGCGCTTCACCGCCTGAGCCACCCAGGCGCCCCCAGTTGCATCTTCATACAGTTCTAGGAAAGGCAGGAGGTGGGCAATAGGTTGCCCAGGGCCAGAAATCCTGGTGGGGATTGACTGCAGAGGGCCAAGAGGGGGATCTGGGGGGGGGGGGCAGTCAGAAGCCTGATGAAGTGATGACTGCAGTGACTCTTAAAATCCACGGATGGATCTTAAAATTGGGTGGATCTTAATGGTGTGTGTAAAATAGCAAATGAAAACAAGCATGGGGGGCACTTGGCTAGCTCAGAAAAGCAAGTGACTTTTGAGTTCAAGCCCCACGTTGAGCGTAGAGATTACTAAAATATATATATATATATGGAAGGTGGTCTAATGGTGTTCAGAAGCGACCTTGAGCGAGTCACTGGGCCTCCCACGCCTCCGACCTGGATTGAAAATTAGAAACGATGCTTGGAGGAGCTGTCCTGGCACTTTCTAGGGAGTCGGCTTCACAGATGCCACTTTTACTTGCAAGGACGCTCCTCTTCTCAGGGCCGTTCCTTCCTGTCCTAGGAGCTCTCCGGTACCACACACTCCTCTGGGTGTAACCAAGCTGTTTCTCCATGACCTCTGCCCTCCTCATCTCTCAGTCTTGCCAGTTTTTAGTAATTCCTCCCAGGCACCTATTCACTGAGTTTGTATGCAAAGCCACCAAGAACTTAGCCCAGTCTGGCTCCATGGCCACACTGAAGAAACGGCGTCATGGCGGAAGGCCAGCTACGCCATGGCACCAGCATGAAGGAAGGCCTCGGACTCCCGCTGTGGCACCAGCACAGCAAGGCTGGGCTCTGCTGGTGAGGCAAGGTCTGGGGAAGCTTCTAGGAGGGGCGTCCTGCTGACATAATGCTGACCTGATCTCCACAAAGGAGAGGGGATGAGAGTGCGTGACCAGGTTTGAGACCCTGGACATGCGGCCTGCGGATGGGACCCGTACACAGGCCGAGTGAGGAGAGAGCTGGCGGGGTGACAGTGGGTAACCACGGACCCTGGACACTGGTCATTAGCCATGGCCTGGACGGAGCCTCTGGCCGCCAATGCACCTGGTGGGAAGGCGGTAGCCCGTGGGCAGCCTCTTCAGAATGGGCCTGTGCCCACTTCTTGAGTGAAGTGTCCTACCGGGAACTGGTAGGGCGGTTCCACCATCTTGTTCCTTGAGTGGCCTCATCTTTGTCCCCGGTGGCCCTTACTCCGCACTAGCCCGTGTCCCACCTGCAGAGGGAGGCCAGTGGAGGGTGAGAGCTCGCCAGCTTCCCCTCGGCCGTCTCCCTGTACCTGCCAGGGACCCAGCGCAGGGATGAAGGTGCCAGGCTTGGCTCTGCTTCCTAGGATGGCAGTTCAAGGCAGAGCCCATCCGACTGGTCCTGAGTTTGAATTACGGACGTTCACGATCCCAAATGTGTAGGGCGGAGCATCTGGCCGGTGGCGGGCAATCAAACATTTGTTGATGGATTGGCCAGAGCACTGTAGTTTGCAAACACTAAGTTTCTAACTTCTTCCATCTTTTTCTAAGTTTTATTTTGGAATTCCCTGAACATGCGCAACAGTAGAGGGAGAGAGACTAAGTGTTGATGAGGACGTGCAGGAATCGGAACTCCACACGGCCGCCCGGGATGTGGAGCGGTGCTTTTCTGGAAGACAGTCGGGCAGTTCCTCTAAAAATTAAACAGACTTACCACGGAGTCCAGCGACTCCACCACTAGGCGCCTGCCCAGGAGAGATGAAAACGTCCACAAAAACGCGCGCACACATTTTCATAGCATTATTCATAAAAGCCAAAAGGTGGGAACAACCCACATGTCCATCAACAGATGAGCAGAGAAACCAAGATGTGGTGACCTGTACAATGGAGTATTCTCCCAAATATGTGTTCTTGCCATAAAGAGAGCTGTATCCATGCCACTCTTTGATGAAACTCGACAATATGCTAAGTGAAAAAAATCCAGTCACAAGGGGATCCCTGGGTGGCTCCCTGGGGGGCTCAGCAGTTTAGCGTCTGCCTTTGGCCCAGGGTGTGATCCTGGAGTCCCGGGATCAAGTCCCGTGTCGGGCTCCTTGCATAGAGCCTGCTGCTTCTCCTGCCTGTGTCTCTGCCTCTCTCTCTCTATCATGAGTGAGTAAATAAAATATATATATTTTAAATCCAGTCACAAAAGGCCACCGGTTTGTTGTATGATCCCATTTATATGAAATTTCCAGAGCAGGCAAATCCATGGAGACAGAAGATGCATGGTTGCCAGGGATGCAGGGAGGCGCTGAGGAGTGACTGCTAACGGGCACAGAATTTCTTGAGATGATCAGAATGGTCTGAAATTGTGATGGTTGCATAAAATGCTCTCAAGTCTTTAAAACAAATAAGGACAGGGACGCCTGGGGGCCCCTGGTTTGGCATCTGCTTTCGGCCCAGGGCGTGATCCCGGAGCCCCGGGATCGAGTCCCACGTCGGGCTCCCTGCATGGAGCCTGCTCCTCCCTCTGCCTGTGTCTCTGCCTCTCTGTGTGTGTCTCTCATGAATGAATAAATAAAATCTTAAATAAATAAGTAGATGAACTGTATCGTATATGAATTTTAACTCAAAGCCATTATTTTTTTCAAAGCTGGTAGTTTTACTTTTTAAAAAATTTAAGAGTGAGCACACCAGCAGGGGAAAAGGCCAGAGGCAGAGGGAGAAGCAGACTCCTCACTGAGCAGGGAGCCTGATGCAGGGATGGATCCCAGGACCCTGAGATCGTGACCTGAGCCAAAGGTGGACACCCAACTGACTGAGCCACCCAGGCGCCCCTATTTATCTTATTTTTAAAAAGATTTTATTTATTCATGAGAGACACAGAGAGAGGTAGAGACACAGGCAGGAGGAGAAGCAGGCTCCCTGCAGGGAGCCCAAGGTGGGGACTCGATCCTGGGATCATGCCCTGGGCTGAAGGCAGACGCTC